ATCTGTATTTGCAATTGGACTAGCTCTATAGTATCAATTCAGATGCATGATGTAATCTAAGCAAAAGACATTCTTCATCCATTTGATCTTTCCCTTATGAACTGACAGGCCAAGGTACCTTGATTGATTACCATTGTTTAGCAGGAGACTCTACATTGTCTTGGGGGAGGGAGAAGTGATGCAATCAAGACAATGTCATCCACAAATAGAAGAATCTCAAAGGGCTCACACTCCACTAGAAATACCTCATGAACTTGTAATACAACCACAATAATTCTTTTCTTTCCTATTAATACATAGTCAGTGTCATTCTTTGCGAAAATATTTGATATGCACTATGTCTGGTATCAACTAATTATTTTTTAAAGAAAATATTCATGGTATAAAAGCACAAGGCATTTTTTCCCCAGATCCTCACTTTTTATCATCTTTTCATTGAAATAACCAAATATTATTGTATACGTTGAATCAATCAAGAGAGTCTTATCAAGTCATTTATGTAATTTCTCTACCACTCAGTAATGTATGTTGGTAGACAAGCTGCAATTACTTTTATAATGAGTTTCATAAATATTTATCATCAGTATTACAATATATAATGATCAAATGTCCCATGAAGCAATATTTTATATAATTTGGGAGTGTATAATAAAATTCTCCTCACCAGTTTCTTTCTTTGCTTTCTTTGGGGGGTAGGAAATGGGGTTAAGTGACTTGCCCAGGGTCACACAACTAGTAAATGTTATATGTCTGAGGTCGGATTTGAACTCAGGTCCTCCAGGATCCAGGGCCAGTGCCCTATCTACTGCACCACCTAGCAGCCCCTCTTTCTTTGCTTCTTCAAGGACTCATAATGAGATATCTTTCCATTAGGTGCAACTTCCTTCTTCATTCCAATTTATAGTGACATTTATAGTGACAATATCAAGATTATTATCATTCATTCCTTCCAACAATATAAAGAGCTCACACTTAAAGTAACAGTCAAACTAAAGTTTTTTGATGGTCTAAAAACTGTGTAATATTGAGTAACCCCTGACTCTTCTCCTACTACTCAGTCTCTGCCACTCCAATAGTAAAAGGGAGATAAATAGGACTGAGTGCTATTTCATGGGTTTCTGTGACAAAAGTTTTTATTAGTCTGGCAACCAACTTACAGGAGACGTGTGGTCTTGGTCTTTTCATGAGGCTACACGCAAAGCCTTTCTGGCATGGTAGAACTTTCTAGAGCTTACATTTCATGGACATAACCTTTGAAAATCCATAGTCACCTTCATAACATTAAAAATAATACTTTCTAAAATTCTATTTATTATTTATATTAAGATTATTTTCTTTCTAAATTTTGAGTTCTAGATTCTCTCCTTTTCTCCCACCCCTTCCCCCCATTAAAAAGATAAATAATATAGCAATTATACATGTGAAATCATGTAAAACATATTTTCATATTAGCTATATGGCAATAAAGGCAAAAACATAAAGCGAGAAATCTATACTTTAATTTGCACTCTGAGTCCATCAATTCTCTCTCTGAAAGTGGATAGCTTTTTTTCATCCTGAGTCCTTTGGAATTGTCTTGGATCACTGTGTTGATCAGAGTAGCCAAGTCTTTCACAGTTGATCATCATTATAACATTGTTGTTACTGTGCACAATCATCTTCTGGTTCTTCTCACTTCACTTTGCATCAGTTCATTTAGGTCTTGCCATGTTATTTAATGAAACCCTCCCCCTCATCATTTCTTATAGCACAATAATATTCTATTACAGTCGTATGCCACAACTTGTTCAGTCATTCCCCAATTAATGAGTAAGTATCTCCTCAAATTCTAATTCATTGCCACCACAAAAAGAGTGACTATAAATATTTTTATACTAAAGCTCCTTTGCCTTTTATCTCTTTGGATACAGAACTAGTAGTAGTATTGCTAGGTTAGAGAAGACACACAACTTTATAGTCCTTTGGCCATAATTTCAGATAGTTCTTAAGCATGGTTGGATCAGTTCATGACTATATCAACAATTCATTAGTGTACCTATTTTCCCTCATGCCCTCCAGCATTTGTCATTTCTGATGGGTATGAATTAGCAGCTCAGAGTTGTTTTAATTTGCCTTTCTCTAATCAAAAGTGTATCCTTTGACCATTTATCATCTAGGGAATTGTTATTTTAATAAGTTTGATTCATTTCCCACATATTTGAGAAACGAGGCCTTTATTAAAGAAACTTGCTGTAAAATTTTTTATATTACTTTACTGCCTATGGTAATGTTTAGCAAAATGTAGTTTCCCTGATTATCTCTTTCAATCAGATCTGTTTTTACTTTTGCTTTGTCTGAGGTCATGATTGTCAACCTTGCCTTCTTCACTTCAGCTGAAGCACAATAGACTCTGCTCCAACCCTTCATTTCAACTCTGTGTGTGATTTCTGTCCCAAGTGTGTCACTTGTACATAACATATTTTTGGATTCTAGTTTCCAATCCATTCTGCTATCTGCTTCTGTCCTGTGGGTTAGCTCATCCCATTCACATTCACAGTTAAGATCACTAACTGTGCATTTCCCTCCATCTCATTTTCCTCTTTTTATCCTTCTCACTCTCTTTTTATCCTATGCCTCCTTAAAAGTATGTATTGCTTCTGACTCCCCCAATTCTCCCTCCCCATTGTCATCTTCCCACATCTTCCCTCCTCTCACCATACTGGATTATACACGTTTCTATACCCAACTGAGTGTGTATATATATTTCCCCTCTTTAAACCAATTCTTATGAGAGTGAAGTTCATGTATTGGCCTCCACTGCCCCTCATTTTCCCCTCCACAAGTTCTTCCTTGTGTGCCTCCTTTATGTGAGAAATTTTTCCCCATTTTACTACTCTCTTCCCCCTTGTCCCAACACATTCCTCTTTCTCACCCCTTCATTCTTTTTTGGAGATAATCACAACATAATCACCAACAATCTGAACAATCATGTTCTCTGTTTATGCAGACTCCTTCTAACTGCTCTAATTCTTGGTAATTACATTTATCATATTACCATGTAGGAATGAAACTGTTTCATTCCATTGGGTCCCCTGTGATTATGCTTTTATGTTTACTTTTTTATGTTTCTCTTGAGTCTTCTGTTTCAATGTCATTTTTTCCTATTCATCTCTGGTTTTTTCATCAGGAATGCTTGGAAGACCTCTAATTCATTAAATATGCATTTTTCCCTGAAAGGATCATACCCATATTTCTGGGTAAGTTATTCTTGTTTGTGATCTTAGCTCATTTGCCTTCCAGAATGCCATATGTAAGCCCTTCACTCCTTTAACATGGAAGCTGTGAAATCTCATGTGATTCCAACTGTGGCTCCATGACATTTGAGTTGTTTCTTTCTGGCTGCTTTCAATATGTTACTTCACTTGGGAGCTCTAGAATTTGTCTACAATAGACCTGGGTGTTTTCATTTTGTGATCTCTTTTAGTAGGTGATCAGTGGATTCTTTCAATTTCTGTTTTACCTTCTGAATCTAAGATATTAAAACAGTTTTCCTTCATAATTTCTTGAAATGTGATATCTAGGCTTTTATTTTTGCTAGTCCAATAATTCTTAATTTATATATCCTCATTAGTCTCCACTTTCCCTGTTCTAATGTTTAAGGAATTATTTACTTCAGTGACCTTTTGTATCTCTTTTTCCATTTGGCCAATTATGTTTTTTAAGGTATTCTTCTCTTCAATTTGTGTACTTCCTTTCCCATTTTGTTTATTCTGCTTTCAAAGGAGAATTTTTCAAAGAGAATTTTTGTGCCTTTTTTTTCCCTGTTGGGCTAATTCTGTTTTTAAAGTGTTATTTTCTTCAGTATTTTGCCTCTTTTGCCAGTTAATTCTCTTTTCATATTTTTTCTTGCATTATTCTCACCTATTTTCCCAATTTTTCCTCTTTTATTATTATCCCTTTCTTTAACTATTCCAGGAATTCTTGCTGGCCTTGAGTCCAATTAGCATTTTTCTTTGAGGCTTTGCTTGTAGCTGCTTTCACACTATTGTCTTCCCTCCCACCCTAGTAGTTTTTTTTTTTTTATGGCCAAATTCTTTTTTTATGGTTTGCACATTTTCCCAGTCTATTTCATCACTTTGAACTTGATGTTAAAGTTGGGCTCTGCTCATCTGGGAATGGGGAGGCACTGTGCCAAACTTCAGGCTTTTTCATAATGTTGTTTTCAGAGCTAGTGCTGAGGATCTGCAAATGTTCAGTGCTTCCAAAGTGGTGTTATACTGCAGAAGGTGTTTGGGGGAGTGAGGTGTAGATTCCTCCCTGAACAAACAGGGTTGCCCTAGGCAACATGGTGAGGTTAACAAAGTTTGTCTTAAGGATTTTGCAGATTCTCTTTTATTCATCCCAGCCCTTTCTTTCACTGTTTACACACTCACATAACAGGAAAGCTTGAATATTTAGGTTATGGCTGTTTAAATGCCATAGCACAGGTATTCTTCCTCTTTGCGGTCAAAATGTAGTTACATATGTGTGTGTGTGTATGTGTATGTGTATGTTTATGCATGTATGTGTATATATGCATGTGCTTATGTATGTATATGTATATATGTATGTGCACATGTCTGCATGTGCATGTATATGTATATATACATACATGCATTATGCATACATGTGTACATATGTGCAGACATAGATATAGATATAGATATCAGTAGCTAGTGGTGCCATGGATAGAGCACTGAACTTAGAGTCAGAAAAATGAAATTCAAATCCAGCCTCAGCTACTTACCAGCTATGTAATCCTGGACAAGCCACCTAACCTTTATCTTCCTAAGTTTTCTCAACTATAAAATGGGAATAATACTAATACTAGCCTCCCAACATTGTTGTGATGATGATATAAGTTAATATTTGTAAAGCTTTTAGTGCAGATCTGGTATTTACTCATCAGTTACTTATTTCCTTTCTTAATGAAAATAGCCATGCAAATGAACAGGTTTACTAACAAAAAATTATTGACTTACCTATGAAGTATGCATAAATGTTGTGCTTACTTTTGAATATGGAAGCCATTCTTTCTTCTTTTTTGATACATATGTCAGTCCGTGAGGATCTTCATGCCTATAAAATAGAAGATGCCATCACTTTCATTTTAAAATAAAGGATGAATTCAGGATAAGAAAAATCATTATGCATAGTTTAATCCTTTTATTAAGAAAATATATAGCCTTCCCCCACTCAAAAGTATGGCTTTTCTATTTTTTCTATAAACTATATGCTATGGTGCTCTTCAGTCCGTTTATTTTCAATGTAATTTTACCTATACTAGTTCATTTTCCACTCACAGGTAAATAAAGCATGTACCAGTCACCCATTTGATAGCTAAAAATAATGAGGAATAGTTAGGCTCTACCATTTACACAAAATCTTACAGATAATTAGTTACACCCAAGCTTGATGGCTTGGCATCTTTCACAAGTTCCTCTTTTTTATTACCTGTATTGATTCATTCATTGTATCTATTGATCCTTTCTTTGAAATGTTTCAGTAAAACAAACAACTATGAAAGATTTAAGATTTAAGAAATAACTATGACTCCAGAGCAGAAATGCTGAAAAATGCTACCCACTAGCTGACACAGTAGTAATGTACTAAATATGCAGAATAAGACACACACTGGGTGATGTGAGGAAATGGGAATTTGTTTTATATATTTGTTTTAAAGGGGTTATTTCTCTTTCTTTTGGTGTATGGGAAGGAGAAGGAATAAATGTTTGTTCATTGAACATTTAAAATTTGCTTTTTCCTTAGCCATTTTTTTCTTCCTTGGAACTATTTCCCTATCTTGTTGTCTCTTAAGCCATCCTACTGTGATGCTCCAGGGACATTACCCTTGTTTAGGTTCTCAATACTTTAAACCTAAATTACCATAGCAGCTTCCTAGGTGGCTACCCTGACAGAAAGTAGGAAGAGAATTACATAAATCATAAATGAGTATTTGGATAACATATAATATTTTTACTTGTTATTTCTTTGTAAAGGGAAGGCAATTGGTCAGGGGAGTTCCTCATCAGTTCAATGAGTTTCCCAGACAATTTGATGAGATTAAAAGTTATGAATCATTTTTTTTAAAGAGACACATCAGGAGCATTTTCCTATCAAGAGTACGGACATGTCCATTAGCCTAGAGGGAAAAAAGAATTCCTGCTAATATTTTTTAGTGTATTGGGCTGCCTCCAAGTTTGGCTGACTGGAACTAAGTAAGGTGACTCTTATGAGATTCCTTTTTCTGTGTCTCATAAAAATGAGTTGCTAGATTAATTCAACTTTCTTTGGAACTTCTTGTCTCCCTTTTCTCTATCAAGAAAAAAGTCAGCTTGTGACAGAACATGTATCTGTTAGGTGTTTAGGGTTGGAGGAGAGGGTTGGGGAGTATGAGGTATGAATTCATTTAATCCTCTACTCCTATGAAGTTGAAATAGCAACTTTGGACCAAAAGCATGTGATACTAGTATGCTCTTATAGATGAACTGAGAAAAGAGGTTCTATAGTAGACTTTCCTATTTCAAGAGCTATGGCACTGATAAAATTTCCTACAGAAAAAATATAACAGATGTATACTTGGCATGCTTACATGCCACAGAAATGTAGTTCAGAACAATGTTCACAAACTCCTCCTCCAGCCCAATCCATTGTGAAGGAGGTGGGTGGAGTTTGAATCTCTTGGACAGCATGCTCTTAGAATCAAGTTTTCCTCACTGAGAATGAAGACTGGGCATTCTAGAAAGAGTAATGGATATTCTGATACAATGTGCTACTTGGATAAAGAGTATTGCCCAAGACCATGATCTTACTTGAAGCTCCCAAGTAATCTATTTAATTCAGGGCTAGTAAGAAGTGGGTTACTTAATTGAGTAGTCCCAATGCATACATCATAGACTCAGTGTGAGTTAGGGAAGGAGTGTGTAAGACCTTATAAAAGATTGAGGGACCTACTAGTATATCAAACGTTTGTCAAGGTGATGAACCCAAGTTCAATTCCCTTCCTGCGGGAGCTGATAGACTATTTGAGTGCTTTATGTGATTCTGTTTTTTTTTTTCTGCCAGACTCATCTTTTTTTTTTTGCATCTTCTTCACTTTCTTTGAGATAAAATAAAATTTTCTTACCCTTATGTATTGAAGCCTTGAAGTGTTTTTTAAACCTGGACTTAATTGCCTTCATTTGGAGAAACTACTTTTTTGTTAACTCTTTGCAGTCTGGTTTTGAACCTCACCATTTAACTGAAACTGCTCTCTCCAAAGTTACTGATGATCTTTTATTCTTCAAATCTAATAGCCTTTTCACATTTCTCATTTTCTTTGCCTCTCGGCAGCCTCTAACACTGCCAATAAACCTCTTCTCCTTGATTTCCTTTTCTTCCTACTTTTTGATACTGTATTCTTTCCTGGTTATCTTCCTACCTATCTAGCCAATTTTTCTTGGTTTCCTGTGCTCAGTATTCAACCAGGTCACATCTGCTAACTGTGAGTGTCTGCCAAGGCTCTGTCTTGGGCCCTCTTCTTTTCTGACTATTTCACTTGGTGAGCTCATCAGCTCCCATGGATTTCACTGTTACCTCTACAGATTATTATCAGATTTATTTGTCCGGACCTAACCACTTGTTTGACCTCCATGTTTACATCTCCAGTTGCCTAATGGACATCTCAAACTAGAATTCCCAAAGACATCTTAAACTCATATCCAAATCTGAAGTCATTATCTTTCCTCCCAAATTCTCACTACTTAACTTCCCTATGACTATATCTTCCCTGTCACCCTGGTTCCTAACTTAGGTGTCATCTTCGACTCTTCATTTTCTTGTATACCCCATAGCCCACCAATTGTCCAGTCATTTAGTTTCCATCTTTATAACATCTCTCATACATATTCCCTTCTCTCCTCTAACACTGCCAATATCTGGGTGTAGTCTCTCTTCTCCTCATGCTTAAACTATTGCAATAGTCTTCTGATTGACTTCCGTTCTCATTTCTCCCTAATCCAGTTTGTCCTCCACTCAGTTGGCAAATTGATCTTCCTACAGTGCAAGTCTGACCATGCCATGCCCTGCCACATTCAATCATCTTCAGTGGATCTCTATTACCTCATCCTCTATTTGGATTATAAAAACTTCTCTTACCTGTCCCCTTGCAGTTGTCATCCATGTATTCTGCCATCCAGTGACACTAGTCTCCTTGACCTTTGGACAAGACATTCCATCTCCCAACTCTAAGAGTTTTCACTAGCTACCCTCCATGAATGACTGGAACTCTTTATATCCCCAACTTTGCTTCTTAGGTATTCTTTTTTTCCTTCAAGTGTCAACTAAAATCCTAGCTTCTGGAGGAAACTTTTCCCAATTCCTCTTCCCTTCCCTGTCAATCATTCTCAGATAATATATTTATTATTTTCAATGCATCATAAATATCTTGTTTATACCTAGTTGTCTGCATGTTATCTCCCACATTAGACCATAAGCTCCTTGGAAGAAAGACCGTCTTTTGCTTTTCTTTGCCTCCATGCTTAATAAATACTAGTTTACTGATTGACTGACTGATACTTCAACACAAGCTAAATATAAGCAATATTTTAGAGCTTTCCTAGAGTAATTCTAGTTGGGGACAATGAACCAAAGAAATGGGTTGGTATCCATGATTAGACTCAGTTCTTGTGAGTCCAAAATCTTGGAGGACCCTGAACACAGGCCACATCTTCATTTGAAGTGTAATAATTACCACTCAGTTTGTTAAAAAAATGATGATTATTTTTCCATTTTTTCTCTTAACCTCTATTTCCTTCCTATGTACTGAATAATTCAAGATCCAAGGCTGAGAGATCTAAACAACCAAAAATCAAAGACAGGAAGGAAAATCATGCAAAGTCTGAAATAAAAACCTTTTTCTCAGCCAGGAAAATTATCCCTTCCTTTCACAATCATTTCTTAGACCATAGAATTAGAAGCTAGCCAAAACAAAATTTTATTTTATTATCATAATTAACTTTTTAAATGGAACTATAGAGAAAATCAACCCATCTGGCAGAATGAGGCATTCAATTCAACAATGTTTATTGTCTGTGTTATGTTAGGCACTGTGCCAGGAACTAGAGATGAAAAGGCAAAATGAAACAGTGGCTCCTCACAAGGAGCTTCTATTCTGCTAGGAAAAGCAGCATATAGAGAAATGAACAGATATTACACCCAAAGTAATTTTATTAAGAAGAAAAGCAACTGTGGCAAGCAGGAGAAACCTCTTGTAATAGATGGCATTTCAGCTTGAACTTGAATACAGTTATGAATGATGAAGAAGATCATTCCAGGTATGGAGGTATGGGGGATAGCCTTTGAAAAACTACAAAGGTAGAGAGAGGAAGGAAAGGAGAGAGGGAAGGTCAGAAGGAAGGAAGGAAAGAAGAGAAGGAGGGATGAATGAAGGTAAAGATGAAGAGAAGAAGAGAGGGAAGGATAGAAGAAGGGAGGGAGAGAAGGAGGAATTAAGGAAGGGAAGGAAGAACTGAGACAGGAGGAACAGAAGGAAAGAAGAACAAAATTGAATACTTATGACTATAAAAGTTTTGTTCACTTTTTGTTCTGATTATCTAACACACAGGGATTCCTAAAATTTTTGTGTGTCATGGAACTCTTTGGAAGTGTGGTAAAATCTATGGACCCCTTCTCAGAATTATATTTTTAATGCATAAGAAAAAATACATGGGGATACAAAGAAAGCCAATTATATTGAAATAAGGATAATTTGTTTTTTCCATTCAAGTACACAGACCCCTGAAATCTATCCATGGACTTCTTGAAAGTACCTGGAGCCCTAATCTTTAATCTAATAGGAGAAATAAAGAATTCCCTTCTCAGTTTCCCTATCACAAAGGGCTAAAGAACATCAAAGCAAGTCCCCTGACTGAAAACTTCAGCACCTTTCAAAAAGATAATTGATACTACCAACTAACATGTAGAGATGAATTGTATTATATTGTTTTAGCATGAAATTTGAAATATAATATTGTAGATATGACAATATTCTAATTTGACTTGGATCCTCAAAATGATCTCATAAGACAGGTGGTGCCGGTTTCACCATTCCCATTTTAAAATTGATGAGAAGTAGCCTAGAGTGGTGAATAGAAAACAGGACATGGAGTCAGGAAGACATGGATTCCAGTTCTGTGTGGGACACTTAATACCTTTGTACCATGAACAAGGCATGCAACCTCTCTGAGCTTCAAGCAATTTTTAGGACTAATATATACTAAGCTTAAAGTGTGTTGTGATCTGTCTTGGAGGAGGGGAGGGATTTCCACACAAATAAAATCATAGATCCATAATATTTTGAGGTACAGATCATGAAACAGGCTCACAAAAGCTAAGTGACTGATGTTAAGTCCTGAAGTTCTTAAATGCCCAAGATAAAGTTTGAACCAATGTTTTTAGAAGCCAAGTTCTTATCAATCTATTCCTCAAAAATATTTTATATCCTTTGCCAAACATCATTTTAAAAATCCCATGGCATTATGTAGCCAGTGCTAGTGGTGGTATGGTACAAGAACACACAATCTTAAGCTTCCGACCCCTTTCATTAAAAAATAGATAAATGCTAATGAATCAGCATGAGATCCACCATTTTAAAATAATACATGCAAATCTATGAGGATGTCACATATGGACATCTATAGAGATGACCAGAACATAATGTTATCTGGAAATGCATTTCTAAAAATTGAAGTGTCAGCATCATACCTAAATTTAATATGAGATAGCACTGGAACACACAGGACTGGGTATCCAAATGGAACAGACACATTTAAGGCCATCTTATGATACCAAGCAATCATTGATTATCCAGAACATGAACAAATAATATTATTTGCACATTAATAATAAGAGAAACTTCTCAAGTTTTTTTTTAGAGGAAACAATGGCAAAATCAGGATTTCATTTCAACTTACGCTGCAAAGGATAACTGTAGGTACATGGTAGAGTTCATAGGGCAAAACCAGTCAGCTGAGAATCATTGATGACAATATATTCCTGTTTTGAATTTTCCCCAAGGCAGTGCTGAAACCTAAATATCAAAATAAAGCAAAATACAAAAGAAAATGGGATATATACATTTATGTATATGTATACCTATGTACATGTAGTTATACATATATGAATATACACAGATAGAGTATGAACTGTATATATGACATATATACCTAATGTGTGTATAGATATATAATAACAGAAAGAGACAAGAGACAGAGAGAAAAAGAAAGAAACATATACATATGGCAATCACCATATAATCTAAATTGTGGTTCTTTTACATATAACATGCCAAAATTGTCAAACTTTTTTTTAATGATCCTCCCAAAAAATAAACTAAGCTTAAAAACTATTATGACTTACTTATATATGGTCTAAGAACAATAAAAGCCTAGGGAAATCTTGATCTGAAACAGCTGAATTTTGCATAGATCTACCTATGGGCTTATTAAAAATGGATCAGATTCATGTCTTACATCATATAACTATGGGAAGATTCCCATAGGATGTGAATCTGGCCCATTATTTCTAGGACTCATGCTGTTAAAGGAATGACTTGTGATTGTAAAGATAAGATACCATCTGGAGCCTCCTTCCCCCACTCTTTTCCTATGTATGGGTCAAACTGGGTGGATATCAGAAGTACCATCTTTTGAATATGCCTGAAGATGAGCTCTAGCAAGTGTTTCCCTTTTCAGTAACTCTTGCTATTATTGTTCCAAGAATTAGCCTAAAGGAAAAGATACAAAACAGCTGTTTATAGGACTCTGTTTAAATTGACCATGCCTGTCTTATTTAATTTATTAAAATATTGTATGAATCAGTAATGTGTCTATAACACCATTTAATTTGTTATGTATATGAGAAAATGAAAAATGTTAAGGTTATTAGCCAAATTATTAATTTCCCACATAGCATGAATAGCAATGCTATTAAGCCTCTTGAATTCAACAGAATATTTTTTAAAATTTCTTTGTGACATACCCATTCATTGGATCACTTCATTTTTACCTGTCACATTAAGTATGGCCATTAAGATAATTTGAAATTAATTTGTGAAACTTTCTAGCCGTTTTATTAAACACTGTGGAGAAGGAAATATGGAGATCTTCATGTCTACTTTTTTTTAAAGAATTCATATATCAAAGTGCACTCATAATATTCACACAGATATGCACACATATATATATATAACATGCTGTGTGTATATGTGTGTATATAAATTATGTACGTGTATGATATGTTTTAAACAGAAGCTATTTATAAAAATGGGGATAGGAGAAGCTTAGAACGTTTTATTACTGGGGCTGCAAAGTTGGTTGGAAACTTCAAGGTAGCATTCCTTGAAAAAAGCATCCTTTTATGACCCAATTGTGCATATCCTTTGACCCAGAGAATCCATTACTAGGGTTATACTCCAAGGAAGAAAGTCTACATGTACAACAAAATATTTGTAGCAGCAATTTTGTGATAGCAAAGATTCAGAAACAAGGTACATGCCTATTATGGGAGAATGGCTAAAGAACTTGTGGTATATGAATTTAATGTAATATTACTATACTATAAGAAATTATAAGAAGCATGGAAAGATCTATATGAACTGATGCTGAGCGAAATAAGCAGAGGCAAGAAAATAACATACTCAATGACTATGATAGTATAAATGGTCATAATAACCAGAGAGAGAGACAGAGAGAGAGAGAGAGAGAGAGAGAGAGAGAGAGAGAGAGAGAGAGAGAGAGAACAAGCATGGCTCAAAAAAAATAGATTCCCCCTAACACTTTCCACAAGTGGAAGGTCCACATGTGTTGTACATTGCATGTATTTTCAAGTTTTTTTTGATGTATTGATTAATTATACTGATTTCTCCTTCTTTTATAACTTTAAAAATACTATTTGTTATGTGGGATGGCTCTCCAGGAGAAGGAAGGAGAAGGATACTAGGGGAAACCATGGAAATATATTTTAAAAATCAATAAAATTTTATTTTTGAAAAAAGTATAATTTTTCTCAGCCCACTGCAGCCAGTTAGATGTCTGTCAGGAAGAGGTAGCTGAGACTTATTGACTTAGTCCAAAGAAGGCAATATGACAGCTGGGAGGAAGTACTTTTCAAAGAAGGAGTTAGGAGATATGGTGAATGGTATCAAGTGGAATTGGAAGGGAAAATGTCTTCCAGTCTATGATGTCAGATCCAGAATGGGGATGACCAGGAGGGATGTCAACAAATGCTGAAATATCCTGAAGATCCAATCACTGGGGAACAGAAAAAGCAGGGAGAAACAGAGAGCCAAGCTAAGTAGCTCAGACTGCAGCAGATTGGTAGTGCATCTGAAAAGCATGGCTCAAATTGCTCATTGTATTGCCTTTAAGCTTTGCATTTTATGGGTCATTCGGTCCTGCCCCTTTTGTGAGGACATGGTTGTGCAGCTGCATGCTCTGCTGCACTTTTGTAAGCTCTTCTGTGTTAATTACATTTGATCATTAACAAAGCTGAGACAACAGAAATACACTTCCTTATGTTCATTGAAAATCTGATGTTTTCTAGTTTCTGCCACAATGCCTTCTTATATTGTAAACAACTCAATAAAAAATAATTGAATAGAATGCTACAGCTTATACTTGGGGAACAGCATTTGATGCATATATATGGTGTGTGTGTGTGTGTGTGTGTGTGTGTGTGTGTGTGTGTGTGTGTGTGTGTGTATACATATACATATATATGTATGTATGTATTATATTGTGCACAGTAGAACTCATTACTTTTTTCTGTCTTTACTGTTGTTCAGAAGTAGATAGATGATAGCTCAATGATAGATAAGATTATAGATAGATACCTAGATAGATACAAAAATGATAGACAGAGACAGACATGATATAGATAACATCAGAACAGCAGTTTAATCTGTCCAAGCATATTATTGACTGCCTAGCATGAAAGATAAGCACCTCAACTTGCCTTTCCAAGTTCATTACAATTATTTGCCTTCACACACACTATGGTCCAGCCAAAATTATCTTGTTGCTGTCTGTGAACTTTTGTATAGACTCTTCCCTCTGTTGGAAATGTATTCCTCACTACTGCCTCTTAAAATGCCTAGTTACTTTCAACATTTGACTCATATGCTCCCTCTTAAAAGAGGCCTTTCCAGATCCCTCCAGACATACATGACTTCCCTTTAACTACCTTGTATTTATTTTACATACATTAGTGGTGATGTGGCTCAACGAATAAGCAACTAGCCTCAAAAACAGGAAAAATTTTGTTCATACGACACCTAATATCTGGGTGATGCTCTCAGTGCTCTAGACAATTCATATTGTGACTAAAATTTGTGGAGGTAGACGTGCTTTAGGAGAGGATGTTGTTTCATGCAGATGCTCCCTATGCCAGCTGCATTCTTTGGACTTGAACTAACCCTACTTTCATCACAATCCCCTGAAACCTCTTCATCAATAGATTCATCACCCTTGTGGGACTGCATAAACTTTGGCATTCGCACTTCTTCAGTACCCTCCTCACCATCAGCCCCTTTGACTGGAGGGCTGGAAGGTAAAACCAAGAAATCCTCCTAAAGCCTTCATTTAAAGAAGGCACACTGACTTTCTTTTCCCACCCACAGCACTCTTTGGACTAGACTCCACCTGGCCCTCACATCAATTAACTTCTTCCCTCTTTCCCACTTTTTAGCATTCTTTTAAGCATCATCTTTTTGTTGGATTGTAAACTCTTTGAGAGCAGGGGCTTTTTCCCATTTGTATCTCCAGCATTTAGCATACTGCTTGGCAAGACTCTGCCATTACTTAAACAGTGGCCAAAATAATCAACTCAAAAGAAATTCATAAATTCATGAAATATTACAATTTCCTTATGTCTTTCTGGTTAGGCAGCAGACCATAGTGAGAGAAAACATACAATGTTGGTTGCAGCTATGCCCTATCCTACTTTCTATTCCCATCTTTGATTCCTATTTGTATTGGGATTTTAAATACATACTTACATATATATATATATATATATGTATATATAATAATATATGTATACATATATGTGTATATATATAATATATATACACACACACATACATGTAGTGTTTCCTATAAATCTACACTGTTTTATAGATGTGTATAGATGTTTGTTCTGTTGGCTCCACCCCAAGACAATCATTCTTTGTGTAGCAGATTTTTCCTAGATGAACTAAGTAAAGGCCCCAAGGAACCCTATTATCCCTCCTTAATGAAGTGTTAAGGAGTTACCCTAGATAAGGCTAATTCTTTGATAAACTGTAAAGTTCTTTGGCCCTAGTTACTCCTTTTACCCCTTTAAAAACCACATTAAGGATTGATGATTGATTTGTAGCCAGTTGATAAACCTGGCCTATACCATTGGACTTGGCCTTTGAAAGGGACAACAAATGGACAGGAGAGAACCAAGGATGAGAGATATGGACAAAAAGGGATCAAATACTTGCACTCAGTTTTCTATAGGGGAAATCTGTGCATTTATGAATGGTTTCAAGAAAACCACATGTGCCCACAAGTGGAAACCAAAAGAGGAAATAGTAGAGTAACAAGGTGTTGCTGTGCCAAGTTTGGAGCAAATGTGTACCATCCTTTTCATGGTAGTGTGAGTAAATGAGCTATGAGGGATTCTGTAATATTCCCCTCATAGAGGAAGGGAGGGAGGCAGCAGTTTCAATCTTAGGGTTGATACTGAAGGATTGCATGGAGCCAGTTGGGTCTCCCATGAAGGAGAGGGAAATGGGCTTGTCTGTTTATTGGCTAGTGTATGAATGTTTGGAATGAAATAAAATGTTCTGTATTTGATGCCTTACTAAGCTCACTGTCAGCATGTGATCTGAGGCAAATTTCATCATTTCTGTATGAGTCAAACCCTAATATTCCAAGAGGAATCTTTGAATGAAAGCACAATTTAAAAAAAGAAAGTCTGTATGAGATTTGCCAAAGATTTAACCTTGTCTGGGTAAATCCTGAGCTTTGGTTCTGAGCCACAGGTTATACTTTATTTACTTATTTTAAAAAGACTGATACTAGAATAATAGAAAATATAAACTTTGGTTTATTTTAAATTTTGGATACATGTTTTAGTAGTCAACATTTCTGGGATAAGTAAGAGTGTTGGACAGAAAAGGAGGTGATGATAAGAAATGATGTCAAATAAATTCTACTAGTTGAAGAAGAAAAACTAAAACTTTTAGATTCTGAAAGAAAAAAATGTAATTGAGACAGTGTTGTCTTCCTTCTATCTATTGAAAATCTATTTCTCAGTCTTCTAAGCCCTTCAGATATTTCTTGTTGTTTCTAATTCTTTCTGAAAAAGCACAATCAGAAATTCACATGTGGAAAATAGTTTTATTCTCTCTAGCCTGAAAATATTTTATTGATGGTCTTCATAAGTTTTCAAACTACTTTAAATTTTTTGGTAGTTTGATATGGGTAAAATCCCAACCTTCTGACTGAAATCATAGAAAGTGTAGAGTCACAGATACTACCAAGTACCTTTGAGGTATGACCCTCACTCGTCTCATCCATGCTCTACAGTGAATGCTTAGGCATTATTCATATAGGCGTGTAGATGACTAATAAATCTCTCTTGGAGAAGAATGTTCTATTTGAATTCCACAAATTTAATACAGATCTGTAGCATGAAGAAGAATTCACCTGAGCTGAGTCTGAATAGATCAGAGATGACTTTAGCCTCTCAGGCAGCTCCAGATATTTTTGTCCACATTAAAAATAAATAAACAAACTAACACAAAATTCAATAGCTTTAGCAATCCATGCCTGCTAGTGAATCCTCTTTCCCATTTCCATTCTCCTCTCAACTTGTCCTCTTTCAGCAGACAAAGACGAGAGAGAGACACAGATGGAAGATGGTTTGCTTTATAAGTGTTTTTTTTTCCCTATGTATTAAAACATATGTGATTTTGGGGAAGTCCTTCCCTTTTCTGAACCTCAGTTTATCTCATCTGCAAAAGATGTTTGGGGAAGAGATGATCTCTAGAGTTGTTTCTTATGACTCTATTATCCTCTGGTCTTAAAGTCTGTGAAATGCTACTTTGTTAAATCCATGAGTAATTTACTTTTCTGAAGCCATATGGCAAGACCTCCCTCACCCTTGGACTTCACTCAGAGATAATTTTATAGGAATACACTATGAACTCCCATAGGCTGGAAATGTGTCTCTCTTTTGGCCAATTCCTTTTCTTAAAAGTGTGAAAATAATTTTCAATGTGGTCCCTTCCCTCATTAGTAAAAAAGACAAAAAAAAGTTTTTTCTTCATCCTGCCTTCTTTCCTTCCATCCTTCTTTCCTTCCTTTCTTTTCCTTCCTTCCTTCTTTCCTTTCTTTCTGTCATTGAGCCTTTTGGGTAAAAAAGCTCAAATTTTTCACAATCACTAGCTGGTGCATCTTCTCTGACATCCAAATGTAAATCCCAGTTCCTCTCAACTGAACTAGAAATTGTCCTTTTGCTCAGTCATCTAAGCAATCGATCCTCCCTGTGTGCTCTGAATTAAAATTTTCTCCTTGGAGTGAGTTGCACTATCCTCCAAATCTCCCTACAATTGCTGCTCTCCCTTCAACTGTTCTGTAACAATGAGGATGATTATCAGTTTCCTTTTGAACTATAGCCCTTTATTTTCTTCCCCATAGTTTATACATATCAGAGAAGCAGCCTTGCTCCTCCCTCACTGGCATGAATAGACATAGTCATCTCAGTGATTTAACTAGGTATGTGTAAGTTTAAAAAATGAGACATTTTATGCAATCCTGTGATGGTGCTATGGGTGACCATCCAATTCCACAAATGTTTATTAAAAACCAAGCTTATGCAGAACATTCATTGTGACAAGTGTTGAGAAGAAAAAGACAAAATGAAAATCTGTCCTGCCCTCAAGGTGCTTTTAGTCTCCTGGGGCAAAAATATATAAGGAGATAAACATATATTTATGGTAAATTCAAGAGGCAAAAAGCATTATTATGGGGTCAGAAAAACTTTCTCATTTGCCATAGAATCAATGTCAAAGTGGTGGTAACTAAGTGGAACAAGGAATAAATAACTGGGCTTGGATTCAGGAAGACTTGAGTTCAAATATGACTTTAGAGATGTCCCAGATATGTGACCCTGGGAAAATCATTTAACCTCTATCTACTCAGATAGGGAAAATAATAACATCTACTTACCAGGGTTGTCATGAGGATCAAATGAGATATTTGTAAATCGCTTTCCACAGTACTTGTCCCATAGCCAACACTTAATACTGTTTCCCTCTCTCCCTCCTTCTTTCCTTCCTTCCTTCCTTGCTCCTCTCTCACCTTCTTTTCTTCTTCCTTGCTCTCTCTCTCCCCCACTCCCTCCCCCCTCCCTCCTTCCTTCTCCATAGAGCAAGTAGCCTTTCACACAAGATGGGAGATTCATGTCATCTATATTACCTGCTCTGTTTTCACAGAAGTTGTAAAAAACTTTCATATCATTCTAATTAGGTTGAATTGTTAGTCATTCATTCCAAAGACCGGCTAAGGCTGATTTCCCATCTGTTCTTAGATTCATAGCTACCTGAGGGCAGAGCAAAAGGAAATCATGGCATCCTTGTTCTTTTTACATCCCTTTCTTCACACCACCCAGTCATGGCGGAAGTAAAATCAAGTGGATCCTGTGATCGTATATTTAGAATTAGATAGGACCTTAGGTTGTCTGACTCAAACTCTCCATTTTACATATGAGATTCCTAAGGCCTAGAAAACTTATATGACTTGTCCAAATCTACAGAGGTAGTAATGGTAGAACATAAATTCCTTGAAAGGAGAGATCATTTTATTCTGTCCCCTGTAAATGCGATGGTGAGCCATGCCCTAGCTCAGTAAATACTTGTTTACTCTTCTTGTAGTCTCTTCTTTTCTTATCAATTGAATTGAATTGAATACCAGAGCTTAAACCTTGGTGTTCAGAGTACAAATTGTGAACTCTCAACCCCAGAGAGGTAAGCACCATTTCTCCATAAGATGGGCCAAAGGACTTGGGCAAAAAATTGAAGGTAAATGAACATCTTATAAGAAAATGTAAGTATTTTTAGAGACAAAGGCGGAACTATTAAAGTACAATTTAGGAGGAGGTATCACCCAAAGAGATGCCATCTCTGTCACTACATGATCAAATTTGTGGAGTCAAGATAGTGTAATAGCAGAAAACAGTAGAACAAGGAGGTCCCCACTTGCCAAAACTTCTCCAAACAAATTTAGAAAACACACCAGACAGAACATTGATGGGAGAATCCAAGGAAAAGTCACAGTGTATCATTTTTTCCACTGATGGTTGCAGAGAGAGAGAGAGAGAGAGGAGAGAGAGAGAGAGAGAGAGAGAGAGAACTGACAATGTGTCTGGTTCAGAGCATAACAGAGTGTGAAATACAAAAATATTGTGTGATATAACAAGATAATTGAGTGATATTCCTGAGTGATGTAACAAGATAGGAATAAGTTCAGAAGCAAGCAGAGTAGGGTCTCACTTCCAATCTCTGGTCCAATTCAAAGCCTGTAGAGGAATACTCAGGGCAGCAATACCAGACATAAGAAAAGTCCACAATTCCATAACTGAAGCACAAGAGCTTCCCAGCTAGTTGACAGTGGCTATCTTGCAGCAGCCTAATGTTGCTTAGACCCACACCCCCATAACTGAAACTTGTAGAATTCAAACCAGGGTTGAGGGTGGAGGACAGCAATCACAACTTGTCCTGGATAAGACAACATTAAGAGCACTGAAAACTTCCAGGTCTCCAGCCTGAGCCTGAGATCTGGAACAACATAACATGAACAACCACAAGAAAGTAGTGACAGGGACCAGTCCAGTCTTTCCCATCCAGAAGTGCTGCAGAGTCCAACCTAACAGCAAGTCCAAAGTCAGAAAATAGACTCAGAGAATGAGTAGACAAACAAACAAAGAAGAATACCACCAAAAAGGGTATTATGGAGTCAGAGAACTTAAGACACAAACCCAGGAGAAGAGAATGACTCTAAAATATCTATAAGCAAAGCCTCAAATCAAAAGATAGGCATGGGCACAGATTCTAAGAGAATTCCTAGAAGAGATGAAACAACAGTTTAAAAAGAGTTTAAAATGTTCCCATCAGTGAAATAAGAGTGCTGAAGGGAAAAATTGAAAAAAGAAATGTGAGTTATTAAAAAAAAAGAATTAGGACATCAGCAGTTTATCTCAGGAAGTATAAAACGTTACCCATGCAACAAATACCCTAAAATTAAAATGGACCAAGACCCCATGTGCAAAAAAACAAAACAAAACATTAAAACAAAGTCAAAAGACTGAAAAATAGAACAAAATGTAAGTCCCAGAGCAAAAACTACTGATTTGGAAAACAGATTAAAGAGAAAAAAATTAAATTAAAAATTCTAGGAATCATTAGACTACCCAAATCCTATGACAGAAACAAGAGTATGGACATAATATTTTGAGAAATATTAAAAGAGAACTACTCCAATCTCATTGAACCCAAAGGCAATGTAGAAATAGAAAGAATCCACTAATCACCTACTAAAAGAAATCACAAAATGAAAATTCCCAGGAACATTATATTCAAAATCCTGAGCTTCCAGGTCAAAGAAAAATACTGAAAGTAGCCAGAAAGAAAGAGTCTGAGTACTGAGAAATCGCAATCAGGATTATACATGATTCAACAGCCACAACTATAAAGGAGAGGAAAGTTCAGAATATCACATTCCTGAAGGCAAAGGAGATATCCTTGACTTACAACCTAGAATTACTTATCAAAAAATGAGTATAATAATACAAAGGAAAAATGGACCTTTCATGAAAGGAAGATTTCCAAGCATTCCTGATGAAAAAGACTTGGGTCCTTTACAAGACAGTGAAGTATGGTAATCTGAGGGGATACCCATAAATTGGTAAATGGCTGAGCAAGATATGGCATAGAAATGTGACAAAATACCATTGTGGTGTAAGAAATGATGACATGTCACAGTCCATAGCATCATGAAGGGTTGAACATGCCTGAACTACTGAACAATAACAACAAAAAAAAATATTTTACAAGGTTGTGCTCTATCCAGTTCAAACTAGCTCATAAGAGCTACTTGTTAAATTCTCAGAGTGAACATTTGTCCCTCATAAATCAGCAAATACTATAAATCAGCATCTGATTTATTTTTCTATCCATTGTCCAGACTTAACAAAGTGATAGAGAAAATGTTGATAATGCAGATTAAACTTTAAAATGTGTTGGTATATTTTTTTTGGACAGCCAGTAGTTAAATATTTACCAGCATACCCTTCTGACTAATTGAATCTAAATACATCAATAATTTGGAAGGGTGATGAATGAATGGATTGTCTGCTTTTAGCATAAAAGTGTCAACAAATGTCCTCATTTGATAGAAAAAGTGGTGAGTTCCCCGCTCCCACCATAACCAGGCACTCTGGATTCTTAAGGTATTTTGTACATTCTTATTGGCTGACTCTCTTTGCCCCAGTTCTTCCACTTTTGTTATTTAAACTAAACTAAGCGCAGTTGCTGTCTAAGTGAGAGTGCAGGGATTAACCCTGGATGATACATTCTGAGGAAAAGTGAAGATAAATGATATACAAGGAGAAAATATTATTTCCAAAAGGACATGGCAATACATAGCTTCTGAGTAGTTGTTGCTGCTATTGTTCTTTTAATTGGACTCCTACAGTCTATTTCTATTCACCACTACTCTTTTTGTTAATTCTAGTCTTATAAAAATGCTCTAAATAATCAGAGATTTCAATTAAAGTAGGGTAGTGTTATTTATAATTAGCCGTCCCAATAGCAGAAGATTGTTTACTAGCTAAAGGAAACAGAAATGGTAGCTTTTACGAGAAATTCAGGGTTAGAGCTTGTTGAAGCAAATTTGACTCTCTGTTATGCCATCACAGCTGGAGTCAAATGGTAGAGGTGGTTCAGAGCTGCCTGCCCATGAATAATGGTAGACAAGGGGACCCCAGCCCTGCAGGAGGACTCTGGCTCTACTGCTTTTAGGAGAGCTTTGGAAATCCCTCTTTGTGTTACAGGTATTATTAGCCTAAAACAAAGCTAGAGACCTCATGCTGGAGAGCAGGAAAGAATGGGGGAGCTATATGGTTTAAAATTAAAGTAATTACTTTACACAGAAACACCCAAACCCACACAAAAGACTGAGGATATACATTTCAGGTCTTATTTCTCATCTATATTCCACCACTAATTTCTGGTAACACTCATGGAAAGTCACTAAGTTTTCTGTGCCTCAGTTTCCTATTTTGTAATTTATAGGTGATAATAACAATTGCTCTCCATCATGACGTTATATTAAGTGGAGTCCCATTAGAAAGAGTTGTTTTTGTTCAGTCATTTCAGACTCTTTGTAATCCCATTTCAGTTTTTCTTGGCAAAGATACTGGAGTGGTTTGCCATTTCCTTCTCCAACTCATTTTACAGATAAGGAAACTGAGGCAAACAGGATTAAGTGACTTGACCAGGGTCACACAACTAGTAAGTGACTGAGGCTAGATTTGAACTCAGGTCTTCCTAACTCCAGGCCCAGCATTCTATCCACTGTGCTACCTAGCTGGGTTTTGGGAAGAGTAGGACTTAATGTTCACAATTCCAAATGTTGATAAAGAGGTTGGTAAATGAAATTTATGACATATTGACAAGCCCAGCACACATATTCATGCTGGCATTTGGGGTATGATGACAGCTACCTCCTACACTACTTTTTAGGTATAACTACCTCTTTCCATCATTTCAAATTTATCCTGTATATAGTTTTGTTTGTATATAGTTTATATGTTGTCTCCTCATCAGACTGTGAACTCCTTGACAGCAAGGACTGTCTTTGAACTTCGCATGTCTTCCCAAAGCTTAGCAGTGCCTGGCACATAGGAAAGGTTTAATTAATGTTTGTTGACTGACTGGCTGACCATTTTCTTCATCTTCCCTATGCTCTTTCCCTCAACATCAAGCCCTTGAACCTATGCATGTCTCCCGGATGGCCAGGTATCGGTCTGTGGTGCCCGCCCTCCACCCCAGGCACACAAACATAATTGCCACTTTAATATGACTGACATAAATACTATCTATTCTCCCAGGGATGCCCATAAGCCTGGCAAGACAATGATAAATGTAACAAATTTATGTAGCAAGTGTGTTTTGGTCCTCTCTCTCCTAGAAACAAGTTGCAACTATATCTACCCCTGGTGGGCAAGATGTCTTTTCTCTACCATCATTGGTACAATCCCTCACCAATTTTGTTTCCCCCATTGTTAGGAGACTGTGACTAGCACCCCAAGTCTCTTTAATCACTTAAAATTGATTAGCTTTTACAGAGAAATGTTTACTTTGAAAATGAAGTGAGAATAAATGTACAAACAATTTTCCCAATACCTTCAGGGCACCTGGACTGTACTTTCCTTTGAGGCTAAAGTGTTAGTTCAGTTCCTTCATGATTCTCACCAAATTTATATCCAAAGGCAATATCACACCTAGATGAGTCATAGTCTCAGCCACCACTGGGGTTCCCATCCTTCCACCCAGGTCACTCCAGGAGGATGCTTCACTGACTAGAAAAGCCAACCTGAATTCAGACTCTTGGATTCCAGTGTCTTGCTCTTCTCAAGGTTTGAAACTCCTAAATTTAGAGACTTCACTCTCTGCATGTAGAAAAGAAAAAAAAAGGAATAACCAAAAAGGCCCAAACTGAAGGCTGTTTCTCAGAGCCATGTGGTCTCAGAGTAGAGAAAGCCCTAAGATGGTTTCCTTTACCACATGGTCTCTCACCAGAAAGAAAGTCGCTGAGATTCCCCAAGACTAACTGGAACAAAAAGAAGATGTATGATGCTATCAAGTCTTTTGGAATGTCTTTGAGGCTAATCAAAGAGCCTCTCCTTAACTATATGGTCAGATAACCAGAACCAGTTACCCAATGTCTGTGCATATTCCACAATCTATCTATCTGAGATACTTCCCTAATACATCATCATGATTCTTCTAGTACCCCCTTTATGGAAAGGTTGTATTAGCTAAGCAAGATGATATGGCTCGTGCCTGTGTCAGACACCCATTACATATCCATTTGTTTGAGATTAAAGACATACAAACTATTCTTGCTTACCCTACAATCAGAATGAAGTCCAAAGCCTTCAGAGTCCTCTTCACAAGGAACCTAGATAACCCCATATTCATAGCATTCATACTGAATTGCTCAGTCTCTCACTTTTGACTCCGCAAATTAGAAGAATTGTAGTGGCCTTTATAAAGAGTTCCAACTTGCATTGGTGACTGTGGAATAATAAGTCTTACTTGTGAGGTTGGTGGGAGCGGGTGGGATGGTGTTGAGAATCTTTCCCATGCCAGGGACAAAGCTGAAAGTGGCACTGAGCCTCATCTATGGCATAGCCACACAGCTACAGAACCAGTGCCTCAGTCTAGAACAGTAGGAAACCTTAAGAGCTTCACTGACAAATCTACCAGCACTCACTTCATTTGGGTTTTTATGACAATAGCTCATGTTTCCTTTATGCATGTCTCAAAATGGATCAAGGACAAAGGTTCTTCAGTGTGTGTGTGTGTGTGTTGTGTGTGTGTGTGTGTGTGTGTGTGTGTCTGTGTGTGTGTGTTAGACCTCCTCCCTTGGCAGTCTGGTGAAGCACATGAAGCCTGTCTCAGAATAATATTTTTTATGAATAACATAAAATTCATATATGAGAATAGACAAGTCACTTAACCTCTCTGAGCCTTGACTTCCTCATCTGTAAAACGGGGATAATAATACCTATAATCCTTATCTTAGAGTATTGTTTGGCACCTCAAATGAAGCAAAATATGTAAAAGGCATTGTAAACCTCAGAGTGCTATATACATGTCAACTATTATTATCACTGTAGCTGCTCTTCCACAATTGAACCTAATTGTCTATTACCAGGGAAAATTGCCCAGCAGTGGGCAGTTTTGTGACACCTTCTCTAGAGAAATTTGCATGAGGTTTGCCCCAAACCTCATTCAAGGCCAGCTCAGCATTCCTTCACCATTGTGCACTTATAAAACCATCTACCCATCCTCAATCACTCGCTTAATTTATACAGCATAATACATTTACTTATATCTTTTTCTGTCTGACAGTTTTCATTTTAATATCATTATAGCATCATTTTTGCCGGTCATGAGTTCAATCTCAGCTGGAGATAACACTTTCCTTCATGTCTCTTACTTTCCTTATTTCACTTTTTCTGTCATGGTGAATTTTATTAACACACAAGGCACGGTCTGAAATTATTATTAAACAGCAATATTTCTAAGCTCACTTCAACATTATGTGAGGTTGACTGCAACCATGCTGCTTATTTCAAAGGATTCAAGAAGTATCCCATTATCTTAGGAAAAATTAAATATATATATATATATACATATATGTGTGTATATTATATATACATGTGTATATATAATATATATTTACACACATATATACACACATACATACATATTCATAATATACACATATAGACATATATAATATACTGTATATAGGAACCAAGAAGGTGAAAATAGTAAATATATGCATATATATATGTAATTTTATTTTTATAGGGTTATTACCAATTTTTCTTTTTTATCTATTGTATCACTTTTTTTCTTTTTAAAACAAATATTGTCATCCTATTTTACTTAGTGTAGTTGTATTCAACCATGAAAAGGACACTTGGTATCAGAAGACCCATTCGTATTTGCCTAATAATGCCTTTTAAGTAATCTGGCCCTTTGTTAATGGCTTTTTTAAAGCCAGTCATACACTTAGAATCAAAATTAGCATCTAAATGAGGATGTTTTAAAACACATGCCTAGGGGTTGCAGTTTTAACCTTTTTT